TTGGGCAGCATTGGGTTGGGATATTTTCGTGATGCACACTTTCTTTACATAAAACTCTCTCTTATACATGAGTTGCTGTGGATTTGTTTCTCTAAAGTACCCAGACTAATACAAACGGTGTGAAGGACAGTGAACTGACCCCCTGTTGAAAAAGTTTGAGGACCCCTGCTCTAGTGATTTACATTTCTCTAGAGTGTAAAGAATTTTTGGAGCCCTGCTGGTGTGGTAGGTACACTATGGGCTGTTAAGTACACGGTCAGCAATTCAAACCCACCATCTGTTCCTTGGTAGGAAGATGAGGCTTTCTGCTCCCTAAAGGACTTATAGACTCCGACACCTGTGGATAGTTCTCTGTCCTGTTGGGTTGCTATGGGTCACTATTGACTCAATGGCAGTGATTATTTTGAATTTTAATAGGTAAACATTCTCTTAAATTACCTCATATCTTATTTTAGCATACAACCTTATAATTGGGGGATGTAGGTTCTGATTAATTATAGCTAAATTTAGTCCTAATATGCCTGATATGGTCAGTTTTATAAGAAATTAAAATTTCTTTCAACAAAAGAGATTTTGTTGAAGACTTAAATTTTTTGCTAATTTACGTAAAATAAAAAATGCTTTTTGCTTTTTAAGAATTTTATTTGCAGCTCATATAAAAAGTAGAGAAAAAGCAAAAGCACATGTATCATCCTGCTACTTTATCAAAACACTAGCTTTCATTTTCTTTATTCCTTTTTCCCTTTCTCTATAAATAAGCCGGTATTTTGTAACATTTCTCACTGTCAGGGGAGCCAGCCCCTAACAAATAATCATGGGTCCGGTAGGCGTAATTGTATGGTTATAATATATAAAGATTATAGTAAAGTCATAGAGAATAAGAGAGATAAGAGAGAGTAAAATCAAGGAGTTAGACACATGTCATGGTAACATGCTCACCTCAGCCTCTCTTGATGGCCCACGTGGAGTTGCGGAAGGAGGAGAGAGCGATTTATTTCTAAGCAAAGCTTATATATCTTTTGGGGGCATGCAAGGCCCTTGATTACAGGTGACCAACATCACAGGAAGGGTTGTACCATAGGCAATACAGCAAAGGGAGGGGGACGATCTACGGGTGTACTCTATAGGAAGAGGAGGGATTAAGGGTATACATGTGACAAGATGGGCAGATCTAGATTCATGATGGCAGCCTAACCTTGACTGTCTTTGAGCTGGTGGTTTGATTTATTCTGGGCCCTTCAGAGAAAGCAGTCCACTGTCCTTAACAGCAGGAAGTCAGCCCCACCTGATACCTTCAGAGAGAGAATTTGACAATCATTTACCAATTGCAAGCAGTGTCATAGGTGTGATATATATATTTGGGGGAGACAAGCTGGGGAAAGGCCTTTGTATTTCTCACAACTCACTACAGAAAATCATGAAACGGAAGGGATACAATCGATAGATGCAACTGGACTTTTCCTAGAATAATTTGATAAATTAAGCTAATAAAATTTATATCAATAATGCAAAGTATTAATTAAATATAAAAATAAATTATTAATGTTGGATTTTTATAGGGCTATATCATTCAGAAGAGAGAAATAAAACCAAGTCTGGAGATAGATAAACCAACAGAAGACATACTCACGTAAGGATGCAAGCATGGATCAATTTCATTTGAATCCTTGTTGTGTTATTGAATATGATATAATAAATATATTTTACAGGTACGAGGAATTTCATCCTTTCTTATTTTCTCAGCATTCACAATGTCCATATATAGAATTTGAATCATTTGACAAGGTGGGTTTTCCAGTTTTCTTCTTTGACTAGTTCATTATGTTTTAAGTTTTAAAAAAATTGGCTTTGATTGAGAAACTAAAAATATTTTTGCTTAAATTTGCAATCACTAGGACTCAGTAGAAAGTAAATGGTTAGAAAATAATGATGGAGGGGGTGGCGGGGAGGGAGGGGAGAAAATGAGCGGATGCCAGGGTCTTAGTGGAGAGCAGATGTTTTGAGAATGAGGAGCTTTACACAATTGTGCTTTACACAATCGATGTGTGTATGGATTGTGATAAGAGTTGTAGGAGCCCCTAATCAAATGATTTAAAAAAATAATGATGGCAACATATGTACAAATATGCTTGATACAATTGATGTATTGATTGTTTGATTGAGAGCCCCCCCCAAATGATCTTTTAATTAAAGTTAAAAAACATAAAAAATTTAGAAGCAAGGGATATGAAGAAAAAAATCTACAGTCAATATAGTGGGAATAAAAGATGAAAGTATTGGGCCTGTCTTCTCTACGAGTTGCAAGCTGGCTGGGTGTGCGGGCGTCCTGAGTGGAAATGGTCAGCGCCACCGCGTGGTCCCCCGCTGACCAGGACAGGTTCATTTACATCTACCCCGCTTATCTGAATAACAAGAAGACCCTCGCGAGGGGCGGCACATCCCCGTCAACAAGGCTGTTGAAAATCCAGCAGCTTCAGAGATTCAAGACGTATGCTTAGCAGTTGGACTTAATGCTTCATCTCTTGAGAAAAATAAAATGTGCTCTAGAGAATGGAATCGTGATGCTCAGTACAGGGGCGGAGTCCGGGTTCAGCTGAAACAAGAAGATGGCAGCCTCTGGTACAGTTTCCATCACGTAAGTCGGTAATGTTGTATGCAGCCGAAATGATACCGAAGCTAAAAACAAGGACGCAAAAAACAGGTGGGGCTGACCGGAGTCTTCAGCAAGGAGAAGGAAGTAAAAAAGGAAAAGGCAAGAAGAAGAAATGATCTGCGGTGAGCATCAAGTCTGTGGTACTCCGGTAAGACACAGGAATGGAGGCCTCCCTTGTCCACCTGAGAGAAACCGAAGAAACTTGTTTGCATCTGGAAGGAACTGTGACTTTTTGTGCCTCCCAGCTACCGCATCCAAGTTGACAATGAAATAAA